GCTCCACTCGGAGGGCGGGGCGGCGCGGAGCGGGGGCCCCGGGGGCCCCGGGGGCCCCGGCCGCGGGCGCACGGCGGGGGGGCGAGGAGCGCGCTGCCGCGGCGAATGTCCGGACGACGACGACGACGAGGGACGACGACAACAACGACGACGACGACGAAGAGGTTGGCCGGCGTGGGCCCCGCACACGGGTGTGCAGGCCACGTGGTGCAAGCCGTGTCGTGCTGTGAGAGGCGCTTCCAGGAAGCAGGGCCCAACGTGACGCCTTCCACCTCGGACGAGGAGCAGGTACCCATTCCGCTACCCCATTCGCCTCGCTTTCCTTTTTTGGGGGGCCTCCTGGGCGGCCTTCGTCGCCACGGCCGGATTCGCTTCGACATCCTGGCCAGAACGCGCCCCAGGAGAGGTCCGGGGCGTCGCGGGTTCGGTACCTTTCCATTTCCCCAGGGTGGGGCACTCGTGCCGAAGGGGTTCCGCGACGGGGGGGGTGGGCTCCGGGGGAGAGCGGCCCAGGCTCGAGCGCGCTCCAGGCAGGGCCTCACCGCCGAGGCTTCGAGGGCGTGTTGGCCTCTCCTCCTCGGCGGGAGGCGGCGGAAGCCAAGCGAGGCCGCCTCCGCCTGCGGAAGGCCGGCGGGGGCCGGCAGGAGTGCCGGCTGCACGAAGGAGGGACCTTTCGCCGGAGTGTGTTTTGGTGCGGGCCCAATGGGGCCCCCCCGGTCGCGGAGTGCGATGTGACTCGGGGGTGGACAGAACCCCCAACAGTGACACGTCGATGAGTGAATTGTCCGTTTTCGCTTCTCGAGAGGGCGCCGTGGCCGTTATTTTCCAGGCTTGCGCCCGCCAGGTTTGGGCCTCAGGTCGTTTTCACTAAACCACGTTTTACTAAAGGGGGGTCTGTCCATCCCCGAATGGGGCCCCCCCGGTCGCGGAGTGCGATGTGACAGTAGCGGCTCGTACGTTTGGTGGTGTCCCAAAGGGCCCCCGCTTGGCCCGCGCACCAAAGGCCATTCTTGGCCAGGTTCACTCTCTCGTGCAGCGGGAAGTAAAAGTCGCCCCCCCAGAGATGGCACAGTTTTGAGCTCACGGTTCCCGGAGCCCGCCATGTGGTGCAAGGTATGTGTCGTGTCCGAGTACACGGTATACGCGTGGCGCAAACTTGAGGCGTCAACGAAGCGGCAACGGGCGGCAAGGTGTCGAAATCTCGCGGGACTGGAGGGCTTCTCAGGGCCGCCCAGCATGATGTCGTCAACGCGCGCACTGCCACGACGCACGTGCCGCACAGGGACATTCACGAGGACTCTCCCCCTTCGGGCTCTGACCAGCCTTCCGGAGGGCGCGCGCGAAGTGCGCGCCCCAATCGCCCCCAGGGCGCGAGTGCAGCCAGCGCGCGAGGCAGCAACGGGGCGTCAAAAGGGGCGGCAATGTGGCGAGGTTTCGCCCGGCACACGCAGCGCATGAGGCGGCAATGAGGCGAGGCGGCCACGGGCTGCGGCGCGGCCAGCCCTCGGCGGGCCCACCCGACGCACGAGGCAGCAGCGAGGCGGTAGCGGGGGCAGCGCGCGCCCCGAGTCGCGGACAAGCTGTGGCTTTCCTTTCCATCCTGTGGTGTGGGGTCCTCGTCCTGCAGAGGCAGCCTCTCGCGCGTCCCTCACCTCCCGCCTTCCCCTCCTCCTCCCTCGTCCCAGTCCTGCCTTTGCTTTCCGCGCGTCGACCAGTTCGGCCCCCCCTCACACGCATACCGTGGCCCGATGGGGAACTCCACCCAAGGCCCCAGTGGCGACGTTCGCATGTGGGCGTCGCCCCCGTTTCAGGTAACCCCTCACATCACATCATCGCGGCCCTATATGGAGCTCCACCGGAGATCCACTGAAGGAATCACGACGACGGTACTTGCAGTTTGCATAATTATGGCTGGGTCCTTCGCCACGACAAGCATAGTTCGTGATTTTGTTGCCTCGTTCCCACTTCTGCGGCAAATGTATCGGGCCCCGTAACGGATCGTGTACGAAGAACCACCTCGGGGGGTAGGGT